CAATCTCGTATTGCGTATGCATCGTAACATGTAACCTTTTACATACCTAATGATTACGACACCTCAAACTTAATGAAATTTACATTTATTTACAAATTCTCAGTCAAAATAAAATGTATAAAATTTGTTTATCAAATAACAACTAAGCAATTGTAATTGAGATTATTTAACAACCTCTAATTTCACCTAATAATTCATCGTATCGGATTTTAATTTATTGGGTGATAAGAATTAAAATTAAAAAAGATTTTATTTCAAGAAAATTTGAACAACTGAATTGGTTTGTTGACTATAGATTGAGGGGAATTCGATATTAGTCAAATACTTATTTGAAAAAAGTGTCTCATTTTTTCTTAGAGATAGTCAGGAATACTTACATCTTGTTACACAGTCTAAATATGATTGCTTGACTATCATTTAGATGATAGACGATGATATTACTTGGATTCCTATAGCGAAATAGATGACAGGCTTTAAACATGTTATTGTTTGAAAAACTAGAACCGTGTTAATTAAGCCATCGTTTAACTAACTGACCTTGAACAAATTAGTTTATGATTATAGCAGTTCTTAAGACCAGAGACGTATAGTATTCACAAATATAAGAACACTTGTGTTGGTGGAGATTTGTAGCTCAGGTGAATGATTTTGATGGAGTTTCGTTCTCTGAGCTGGATGGTTTGGTCCTAAAGCTTTCATCTTTCTTCTGAACGACATCATCAGTACAAACTTCATCAAGAACACTTGTGCAACTTAATTGAATTCCACAATTACTGATTGTTTAGACAAAAAGTTATACTTACAAGATTCAGTTTATTTTCTTTATGACTTACTTTAAGCTAAATATTTTTTTAGTAAATTGAATACTTTATTATAAATAACATTATTTATGATATTATGACTAGTCATTTAATTGAAATTGTAATTTATATCTTTAACTTTTAAATAAATATATAACAGTAGGTAATGCAGAATTTACCTGAATCTACGTTTTTTGTAAAACGATTTTCGTTTTATTCATTATAAAAAAGATGAAAAAAAGGGTAACATCAGTATGCTATTAGACTATACTTATTCATTAACTGTTTACAATTGAAAATGCTTTACATATTGTTATCAATAATAATAATAATAATAATAATAATAATAATAATAATAATAATGACTGACATTACTGAAAGCCACTTGAAAATATTAAATTTACATTTAACTTCTAACAATAGAAATGTAGACATGAAAATTTTCCGAATAGATTCTTTTAATTAATTATCATAACAAAACATTGATTCATTTGATAATTTGATACTTAAATTAGTATTAATAAAATATTAAATGAATATTTTAATTAACTTAAAAGAGACTTTAACAAGTTATTAAGTATAAAATGAGCGGTGAGTATAAAATAACTTATTTCACCTCATTGTAATATAGTTTGAAACTATACTACAATCAATCGTTTTAGGATACTAAAGATTATTCCAATAATTATTAATTGCTTTAGAATTAGTTTATGATAAGTTACAAATGATTTCTCTTAGAAAGATCGAGGTCGGAAAGGAATAATTGTTAGGATTACATACTTCCTTGCGCCTGTTGTTCCTCGTGGAAAAGCATGCGCCGCCCATCAGCACTCTCCATCCAACCATGTTCCGGGAAATCCTTTCCAATTCTTTCGATTTTTTGTACATTCTTTTCATATCTGCTTTTATTTCACGACGTAATGTGGTCCTTGGCCATCCTTTTTTCCGTTTCCTTTCAGGATTCCACGTGCAGTTTGATGATTTCCGTAATTTATTTCCTGTCCACTTCTAACATCTTTTCTTTATTTCCTCTGCATCTAGAAGCTGGTTCGTTCTCTCATACAGTAGGATGTTGCTGATGGTATCCGAACAACGGACATCCAGTTTCTTACACAAACAATTGTTCATAAATACTTGTACATTTTTGATGATGGTTATGGTAGTCCTTCAAGTTTCAGCTTCGTACAGTAGAACTGTCTTGATCTTCGTATTGAAGATTATCACTTTGATATTGGTTTATAGTTGTTTTTAGTTCCATATGTTCTTCAACTGTAGGAATCCTGTTCTTGCTTTGCTAAATCTCTCCTTTACGTCTGCATTGGATCCTCCTTGTTCATAGATGATGATACTCAGGTACGTGAAATTTTCCATCTCTTCCAGTTTCTCCATCAAGTGTGATTACGTTGATTTTCTCCGTGTTGTAATTGAAGATCTTGCTTTTTCACCTGTGTATGTTGAGACCTACTGATGCAGAGGCTGCTGATACAATGGTTGTCTTCACCTGCATTTGTTGATGTGTATGGGATAGAAGGGCCAGGTCATCTGCTAAGTCCAAATCGTCTGATTGATTCTGAGCTGTTCATTGTATTCCGAGCTTTACCTCATTTGTTGAGGTCTTCATAATCCAGCCGACCACCAGAAGAAAGAGGAAGAGTAAGCAGCCTTGTCTGACTACGGTTCTTAATTGGAGTGCATCTGCCAGCTGTCCTCCATGCATGACTTTGCACTGTAGTCCGTAGTATGAATTCCGTTTGAACTTAACAATCTCAGGTACACCATAGTGTCGAAGAAGTTCCCATGATGCTCTCCTAACCACACTGTCAAGCACCTCATAGTCAAGGAAGGTAATGTATAGTGACGAGTTACACACAACTGATTGTTCAACGATTATCCGTAGTGTCGCGATTTGGTCCGTGCCCGACCGATCATTACGGAATCCAGCCTGTTGATCTCGAAGTTGGGCATCTACTATATCTTCCATCTGGTTCAGCAATACTCTACTGAAAACTCTTCCTGGTACCGACAGTAGTGTGATACCTCTGTAGTTTTTACATTTGCTCAGATCTTTCTTTGGCACATCGATGAGGTATTCTTCTTTCCAGTCCATCGGCACTTGTTCTTCCTCTCAAATCTTTCTGAAGCATACTTGTAGTTACTACTATATCTGACTTCCATTTTTCAGCTGGCATATTGTCAAGTCTTGCTGCTTTCCCAATTTCATTTGTCTGATGGTCGTCCTGATTTCTTCGATCTTTGGTGGAGTGTCATCTATAGGAAGGTTTTAATTACTGCTTTGATGTCCGATGGATACAGTGGAGCTAGTCTATTTAAGAGTTCCTCAATTTGTTTCACCCCTCTGTCCCTGTTTTTGAGTCTCAGTGATTCGCTTGTTTTGTTTGCACTTGATTGGTTTCTCTGGTTTACCATATTTCCCTGACGGTTTCTTCGTTGTGTCATGAAGTTGTTTCATATTTCGTTCTCCTGCAGCTTTTCCCACTGTTGATTCTAGATCTCCCACGTATTTATACCTGTCGGCTCTAATGCTTTACTTCACTTGAGTGTTTGCTCTTGTGTAATTAGCCTGTACCTTCACTTTCTCTGTTCTTGTTCGGCTGTTGCTAATTGCTGTCTTCTTGTTATTCCTTTCTTCAATCTTAGCCAGGGTTCCCATAGAGATCTATTCCTTATGTTGATGATGCTTCTTGAGGCCTAGAACCTCCTGATACGTTGAAGTTAGTGCTCCTTTGTTTTGTTTCAAGTTGTCCTCCATAGTAGTTTCTTCTTCTTTAGTAGATCTTGTAGGGCTTGGGACATGTTGCTGAAAACTCTCCTGAATTCGTTGAGTTTGTCAGTATTTCATAGGAAGGCAGTATTGAACCTCTGTACTGCTGTTTCCCAAGCTGTCCAATGTTTCTCCAGCTTCAATTTCATCTTGACAACCACCAGGTGATGATCTGAAGTGATGTCTGCTCCTCTGTTGGTTTTCACATCCTCCATTGGCCGTCTGAATTTTTTATCGATGTAAATATGGTCGATCTGGTTGGCTGTAATGTGGTCCAGTGATACCTATATAGCTTTGTTTATGCGTCTGTGTAGGAATATTGTGCCACCTGTAACCAATTTGTTGAATGCACATAGATTTGCCAACCTCTCACCATTTTCCTAGTCCATGTCGCCACATGACATCCTCATATTTAGTGTTCTCCATTCCGACTTTAGCATTTAGATCTCTCATCAGGATGATCAGATCTTTTGATGGGCACTTTACTTTGATTAATTTAAGCCTCTCATAGAACTGATCTGTATCGTTGTCATTGCTATTGTTGGTGGGTGCATAATGTCAAATAATATTCAGTGACTACCTCCTTTGTTTTGAAAGACTTTTTGATGATTCTGGGTCCATGAGATTCCTATTCTATAAGCGCTTCCTTGGATAGCATCAGAGAAACTCCCTACGTGTGCAAAGAATTTTCTTCTTTATCAGCAGCATCTCTCCTTAACCTATTTCTCTTGTCCAGCTTGAGTTCAATGAGTTTCACTTATCCCGACCAATGCCAAGTGGTATCTCTCATATCCGTTGCTATTTAACTGAACCTTCCGGTCTTCCACATTATGCAGACACGCCATGAGCCTATATTATTATACTATTATTGTATTGTATTTATTGTTGCTCTAGCTGTTAGGAAAAGCATCGGCCTCGTGAATTCCGACGAATATTGACTTTTGCCATGAGGCGTCGTAATTCTTCTGAATAATGATCCCTCAATTCAGAGGGCAAAGTTGAAATGGTTTGATTTGTTTGTTCTGGTTAACGTTTTTTAACAAAACTGTTTTCTATGGGATTGCGTTATCGACCCCACGCCCAACCCTCCTCTTTCACTCGGGTTTCGGACCGGCAATTACCCTAGAAGAGCTACAGGAGTATAGAAATGCAAAACTCGTAGCATATCGATATATTTTTCAAAGCAAGCCAACAGCAGATAAACTAATAATGATACCCCTTATTTTATCGAGAGTTTTTAGATCTTTTGTTAGTAGGAATTAACAGTTTCATATGCTGTTGAAACCCAAGATTAAAATAATTCTCAACAATAATTGGTAATATCCTATAAAGTCAGGCCGGTTTCAACTAACTCATGAGAGACATCAAAAATATTTTGGGCGATTCATTTCAAATTTGCTTAAATTTTTTTGCATTAGGTTTTAAAAGCCAGTGTAAAAGAAATGGAAAAGCGCTACTGAATTTCTTTGCTTTGTGAAATCAGCGTTTCAACATTTTTCTTCGACATTCGTCTCGTATTCATTTTCTTAATGATTACTTGAAGCTATCGAATAAATGCGTGTATCTAGCGTAATATTCTTAATTTTCAGTTGTCATTACTTTCAAGTTATAATATTGATTGCAGTTTAAGAAGCGTAGTGGTGTACTGAAACTAAGAAAACATTCTACCTAACGAAAACCAACAACAGATGGTAGCCATCATATTAAACCTTACTGAGAAACATAAATCTTGTTTCCTGGTTAGTCAAAAATAAGTTCTGATACACATACAGCAGAGTTCGTACTGTAATTCAAAACATTACATGCTAAAAACGCAGTTTTACAAGCTTTGAAATGAAATAATTAACGCAGTCGTCATTGACAAAGACAAATCGTTCAATAAACAAGTCTTTGTCATCTTGATATTGATCAGTTTCAGCAAAATGTGCAAAGGAAAAACTAATATTTGTCAGACAAAGAAAATTCATCGAATATGCCTTGAAAACTTTTACTGCGTCTTGAGCAAAATTTTAGTTTCGTGACAGATTATTTTCTGATGTTTTCAACTGGTCTTCCTTTATTTGATTTATTTACATTAGATGTAATTAATTTTTGGTTGGTTAATAACTAAATGTTCATCTTCAATGCCACACCCATTTTGCTGAACTGCTTGCCTCTCTTATAGCTTGAACTATCGTTGTACAGATAATTTTGTAAAGTTCATCACAATAAATAACCTTTTTCTAACTTCTCCGTTGAAATATTCTCTGTTGAGCAAACCCCTGCCTAACAATAATTAACGAAAAAACACCTGCTTAATTCTAGTTAATAAAATATGTAAATATCAAAATTAGTAAATATGAAATCATTGGGTAGTCATCACTTCATATAGGGCAGTAGTGTATAAAGGATCAATAAACATAAAATGAATAGTTTAAAAAAAGAGATGTAAAAAACTTACGGGAAGAAAGGTAAATCTTCAAACTACTTCACTGTCGTGCTAAGAATGACACCATGTCTAATAAACTCTGTCCGAATAAATATTTAACAATCCGTTTTATCAATATTTATTATTTGGTTGCACTAAACCTCTTCTCAAACAAATATATTGTAATGATACTTCAATAAGAGTAATTACTTTTGAATAGAGTGGTACTGTTATAATAATTCATTGCTCATTATAAGTAATTATTATTGTACGTAATAAGAAATACAGTAAAAATTAAAAGTGAATTAAGTATAAATCAACCGTTAAATATAATCCATATCAGTTCACATATAGACGTTTTTACTACATTATTTCTTCTCTGTTCAAAAAATGTACACAAATACCAAGCTTCATAAATACATCACGTTCTATCAGTTAAAGTTGACAAATATTTATCAGTGTAGTTTTATCACCGCTGGTAACAATGAAAGTACCAGAATGCACAAGTAAAGGGTATAGAATAAAATAAATGAATATATATATATATATATATATATATATATATATATATATATATATATATGTACATATATATATATATATAGAGAGAGAAAAGAAACTAAAAACATAACAGTTCAAGAAGGAAAAAGAAAATTCATTTATTTACATATCACTTGCATGTAGATGAATATAATTAGAGAGCAGTGAAGAAACAAATTTAAAGTTAAGTGATGTACAGTGTTTACAATTTTATAGTTAAGTTGAAAAAAGGTGTACTCATTTACGTACACAAACGTGAGAAGGTACCTTAAAATTGGTTAACTGCTAAGCAATTACCATGGCGATGCTGAAATGACATTAGCAAGAATTCTGAAGAATAAATTTATTTCATCACACCATTAATAGAAAGTTTATAATGATTCAATTGTAAGATTCGACGTTCCGCTATGATAACACGGTAGAACAAAACTAAATTCATTGTTGTAAATACTGTGAAACTCGAAAGTAGAATCCAACTAACAACAACTGGTAACTTGTGCCTGTTAATGATTCCCCATCCAAATAACGACAGTGTAAGACATATACGAAAGATGATAAATGTAACTATTTAGAAATGGAATAATAAAAAGAAAGGGGTATTCTTATTGAAACATAAACAAGTTGGTTTATTTCATGTTATAACTTTTCAAGTGGAGTAATTTCACGAAATCCACTGAATGGTCATACATATTCTGAGTTGATCCATATCATATTGATAAGTACGTAAGTCATCAAAAGTGTATTCAGCAAATTTCAGTTAAAAGAGACAAAAATATGTCATTTATTTGGCAAAACTTACATTTCACCTTTGTAAGTAAAATATATAATCACATTTACAAGTGATATTTAAAAGTAGGGGATAGTCGGGAAAATAAAACTACAAAATAACAAAACGGATGACAAAACTTAATTTTAGATCTCTTCATTGTTTCCTGTCAAGCTCATAAGCAGGTAGGCAGTTATTACGATTGATTGTTTGCTAGTAATATGTTATTTCAATAGAGCTTCAAATATATCAGGTGACAAAATGTAAATTTTGCAAACTGAAATTACTAACAGTTTTACTGTATAGGTTAGCTAGTGCATTTTACATAAGTGTAAAATCTAAATGATAAACGAGTGAACAAGTCAAGTTTGCAAAATATATCAAATTTTTTTAAAAGGGATCACTAATTCTATTCCAGTTATCTATTATTCTCATGATTGCTGCTTTCTTACGTCTATATTTGCTAAATTTTCAAAAATAAATACAAATCTATTTATTCACTAAAATAAGCGCATAATTTTCTGACAGTTGAACGGAATTCTCAGGAGTGTAATTAATCATGAGGGATACTTTTGTGAAAAAAGCAACAATATTGGTGGAACAATGCGTTTAAATAAGTCAACTAGGTTTCAAAGTTTATGTATTAACAGTTTAACAGATCGACAAAAAGAAAGTGGCATTTATTCATGAAGTAACTATCTTAGAGAGTAAATGGATGCTTGATATGTAATTATGATTGAAATGAAAAGATGAACTGTTTAACAAATTGGTTAAAAATCGTAATTTGTAAGCTTTACAAAAATCCTACACGTGTATAAGTTTTTACGAATTATATGTACGTAAAACTAAGTATCATGACAAATGATTCCAAAAACAGACCCATACAAAGATCAAGAAATATTGACAATCGATTTGTCAATCCTGATGACGACTGATAAGTGTCACTAAGATGCACCAAAAACAGTAGGTATGCTAATCGTTTCTTTAAAAGCACCTTTTATAAGTACAATTTTTCCCATCGAGACTTCCTTTACACTAAAAAACCTAATATTTGGAAGGCTAGGGTCATACTGAGATAACTTGCATGAAATGTATGCACCTTTTAAACCACCAAATAAAAACAATGAAAACTATGAAAGGAAACGCAATGACTTACTGATATTTGCAATAGCATTAAGGCGGTATGTTACTGATTCAGGGTCGATGTTAAGTAAGATCATTAACTTTCTTGCGTGAAGAAATATGCTGTTTAGCTCCATCAAAAGCCCAAACAATGCGTAACAAACAAGAATCCTATACCAAGATACAACGTAAAAGCAGGTTAAAACCTAAGTTAAAAAGCTGATGAAAACTTAAGGGCAAAAGGCTACTGTAATGTGATGCAATATTATCTCCAACGATCTTAGTCCAACACCGCCACATATATTATGATAAATGTCGTGAACAAAGTAACCTGGTAAAATAGAATTATGATGAGTCTAGTATACCTGTCGCGAAACCCATAATATGATAAGCGAAAACGTTCTCTGAATCTATGACATTACCGACTAGGTCAGGATAAGAAATAAGGCTGAAATAAATATTTTGTCAACCGAAACTCACCAAATAAGCGAACTTAGTCCGGATATAAAAGCGTGGATTATGGAGATGGAGTAATTTCTTAGTCTTATGAACAAGTAAGTGTTTCTCGTAGTTTTATTGCTCGATTGACATGTTTGAAGGGCATAGTCAATCATGTAAAACAGTAGAAATGCAGACACTGAAGTAGCGTAACTATTACTGAGGTCTATGTCGGCATTCAGAACTCGACCATAAAAGGTCATATTTCTTGATCCGCTGCTCTTCAAGTATCCTTTAATGACTCACTTAAACAAGATTATAATGCAGTAAGTAAAATTTCACTTTAACTCAAGATGTTACGGAAGCACTGATCTACCGAAAAAAATGCACAAACACAGTTTAAATAACCGAAGGTTTTTTGATCTGATAATTATCAATATTGACCATTCAGCACTTCATAACAGAGACTGAACACAATCTTCTCACAATCAGTCAAAACTTCACTAGAGTAATAAAGCGAATCTACCATAAAATGTATTGACTACGTCCTACAGCATACAAAAGACAACCATTTTCAAAATAGGCTTGTTTTAAATTATCGACTATTTGTATTATTAAATGTTCTTAGATATATCATATTGTGGCCCACGTCATCAAATTGAGCAGATATTCTTAAAGCTTGTGAATTTGTTAACAACCTTATACAGTGTATCACTGTTGGTGCAATTCTTCCCCGACACTCGTAGAATAATAAGTAAGGTGCCTTCGATTTTTAGACGAAAGCTGTTTGCACGCCTATATGTATATGAAAAGACAGCAAAACATTAAATTCACACTCAATTTAGTTCAGCATGAAACAGAAAATTCAAAACACCTCAACCGTTCGGTTCGCCTGTACAGTTAAAAATTTTCTGGTAAAAACATTGTACCACACGCCAAGGAAGTAATAAGTGCCGAGGAGTCAAATAGAATCTACTAGATACTAAACTGGTAGTTTTGAAGCTTTGTGTTTATTGACGAAGTGATGCTGCCAGGGTTTGCTATTGCACTACTTTTAGTGCTATCAAGGAAATCCAACTCTCAGTTTCTCTATATCCTCCTTCACTTATATTAAGTACACGAAAAACTCCTATAACTTATACCACCATAATCAATCCTGGCTATTATGGAACTGGTTGAATGAAGTCTCAGGTATTCTCTGTTGATGGTGAGTATACTTGAGTCATATAGAGACGAAGTCCGCCCTCACTGTCGTGGTATACAAGTTATGAAACTCACTTAATAACGGGCATAAAATAAATAAAACATAATAAAAGTAATGTATTATAGGAAATGACAATAGAGGTAGATGAGGCAAACAAGGCTGCATGCGGGTGACGCTCAGGAAATTACGAGGAATTTATTAAATATTGCGCATAGAATGGTCAATACTTTGTACATAATACCATATATATTTGGGGAGTTAGATAAAGATCGTCTTTTTTAATAAAGTGATATTTACAAATAGTTGCTGAATGTCGTGGAGGTCATCTTAAGTTCGAGAGATGGTTGTTTCATTTAATATCAAATTACCTTATAATTTTTCATGGCACATTCGGTTTAAAACACATGAAAGTTCAAATCGTGGCGCTTGAAAAGCATGCAAGCACTTGCGTAATTCTAGCTGTTGCAGACATAATATGCTTCCCTATTTATTATTTGTTAAACTTTATAATCTCCTTTCTTTAATTCATACCATATGGAATTCAGTAAATAGTTTTGCATGTTGTCGACGTTGATGCTGACCTCATTAGTTTTGCTGGACACACGCTGGCTAGAAATGCTCCATCACACACCAGGACCGGATCACTGTTGTATCCGCTGAGCCTTGCATCTATAGCATTAACTAGCTAGATTAGACCAAGATATCGATAGCTTTACAAAAAATCACATCGAATCTTTCCAATTACAACTTCTGGTTTAGCGAAGTTGGTTTACTTTGATTAATTTGGTTTTACGTGTAAAGACGTTGTCAGACTCCGAATGCCTGTGGTAGTTTCTAATAATATGGTTTTTAGATTGAATTAAATTGGATAAGACAAAATGGATTACCGCATAGTACGATATACAACTAACGGCACCCGGCAGTGTAAAACTTTGCAACATCAGAAATGATTGTGTAAGAATAAAAAATGTGCAGAAAAATATGTGCATCCATAGTCATTATCGCTGGCTGTGATATCATTGTGATTCAGCCAACTAGTAAGGAGAGAAGTTATGCTACGTTCAATCGTTGCATGCCACGGATCTGATCGAACAGAAAATCTTCGGCTCCTTTAGTTCCCCTGGGTCTCCATCATGCTTCTCGAAAGCCATCGCAATAATGATGTCAATCATCATTTTCTTTTATCTAGGAATTTTTGTTTTTCAGCCTTCTCAGCATGTGTTACAGTTGCTTTGATTGTGTAATAACTGGATTATACACCTCCCATTTTCAGTTCTCATTTCATTGGAAAACACGACCCATCGCCAGGAAATCGTAAACCGTGTGAGAGAATTAGGATGAAATATTCCTTCAATCAACAATAATCTTACAATACACATAATTTTTTATAGTTAGCCAGGTTTTGTTTGTATTAACTACTGCGAATGATATTTTTCACTTTTTGTTGCGAGATTTGGATTATGCTACATGATGCTGTGAACATATTTTTAATGACATAAACGTTGATGAGCAATCTCTATGTTGTTGCTAGAATTCGTCCCTCAACTCTTCAGTATGTTTTTCTGTTTTGAAATAAATTGCAGTTCTAATTTTTTTGATATTACTCTTCATACCTGACCATTTCAAATTGTTGTGGACGGAATAGAAGAAGCTTTCCCCGGGAGAAACCTAGGTGTATTGACGATTATAGAGAAAAAAATTGGTGGATGATAATAAGATATCTTCTCTTGTCTTTAAAAATAGATCACGTTTCCTCTTAAAGGACTCCTGAGAAGTCGCTCTTACTAGCTCAGCCGGCAGCGAATTACAGAATTTGACAACTCTTAAGGAGTGGAAGTTGTGTTCATAGTCCATCGTGCGTTGTTGTGTCTCTTGTTTCTGGGTGTTACCCCTTAGGTTTGTGTTGAGGCTAAACCTAAGTAGTTGTTGAAGGGAACTTGAGCTTCCAATTTTAGGGAAATTTCGGGGAAACTCCCGAAGTCAAATGACCTTCACTAACGTTTGAGGAAATTTTGGGGTTCGGGTCTCACTTCCCACAAATTTATTATAGCGGTTTCCTCAAAATGTACCGAGTTTTCCCCAAAATTGGCAGCTTGGGAATATCCAGAAAATTCAAGGATACTGTTAGCCACTAGAAAATCGCCTATAAGACGCCTATAATCTAATGAGAAAAGGTTTAGTGATTGTAAGAACCCCTCATAAGGCTTGGATTTGAGTCCCCGAAGTGATTTCTTGGCTCGGCGTTGGATACGCTCCAGAGTGTCCTTATCCCTTTGAAGTGAGAGAGAAAATGTTATGTTTCTGTATTCTAAATGGAGACGAATAAAACTGCTAAAATTTAAATGATGATTAAAACAATGAACTACCTTGCAAGTAAATTTATCACTGTTAAAGCATGGCAAAGACAAAGCATTTCGCATTGTGACTGCCAAAAGTATTGTTGAACTCATTGAACTTGCTTTATATATATTTATATATATAACCACCCAAACGTTTGTGCCGAGATTATTCGCTTTCGTCAAACAATCACTTCGCTGAATTTTAGTCACTTTGAACATGTTGTACAGCAAATGCACTCATATTTTATTTTCAATGAAAACAGTTATTATGGCACGTACTTTCAGTTATAAAAGTATCAAAAACGGTACCTTACTAACTAATAATTAACGCGGGAATCTATATTATTTACCTTTAGCTGATGTTTCAGAGCTCATTATTGTGAATGTAACTTGATAGATGCGATACAATGGTCGGAACCTGAACTCGGAATGTGTTATGAATATTCAATTAGGTTGCCTTTGATAGATTCAGTTAACGTTTGTGCCACATATTCAGCATCGTAACCAAGTTTTAATAAAATTGCACCGGTAGACAACGGTGTATGTTTCTTAATTTCTATCGGTTTAATGGTTCGAAAGCTTCTATAGTATTTCGAGTCGCTAAGCCCATCAGGCATGATTGAACTACCTAGGTTGCGGAAGATTTAACATTTAAACATGAATATCTGCTCATTAACGTAAGGAATCAGTTTATTACATTTGGTTGTTGACGACTTACCTTCAGTTGCATGGTCAAAAGCTGCTTTAAATAAACGTGGAAGCCAAGTTTGACAGAGCTGAGTTTCGATTCATCAAAACTAATCAGCAAATCTATGTTTTACTTTGAACGGCTGAGAGTCAAAGTAACTAGTTATTAGTGAAGATATGAAAATTTCAAGACATGTATGTCAGTAGAATATTTGAGAAAAGTTACATAATTGTTCATGGAATTTCGGTTTGAAAGACAGAATGATGTCAATATTTAACGATGATGTGTGGGGTAAAATGACAGTAAAACCATGCAACTTGAGAGCTAAAGAAGTTCGGTTATGATTTTACTACAAAGTAAGCAAGCCTACTCTGTTAAAGAGTATGTTACATATTTTCCATTCAATAGTTGACATGCACATCCTTTTAAAGAAATCACCACTGTTTAGTTCTTGTCATAATTAATCAACGTACCATTATTTTTACTTCATTTGAAATTCACCTTTTGCACAAAAGTTTGGTATGGCACTGTGGACTAACGTACACTTTGAGGGCTGAAATGTATATTAAAAGCAACTTAATTAAAATTGGTCCGAATTATATTGACTTTGTTGCATCAAAATAGACATATCGGACGAACTTGCACTTACATTTACCAGATTTGTATGGTATAACGCTTTCCATCGAGTGAATCGATTGGCCATAATCTATTTACATAATACTTAAATTGTTGCAAATAGTTGGCAGTATCTACAAAATTTTAAGTAGTCTAATACAGATATTTTGTTAAAGTGCAGTGCATCTTATAATGAAAGAGCCAAAGTTTAAGAATTTGACCTGTAGTGTTCAAGTCACACACACTGTTACGTCGTATTTGTCAGCCACAATTTTTGAAGGACCATCAATTTTACATGAATCGGCGTCTGAAAGTTAGGTGCATTTTAAACTTGATAGACGCAGCAATCGCGTGAAGTATTTTTGATCTCTGTTTTGACTATTTGCCGAAAACATTTTTATGTTTGATATGCTAGCAATCGATAGTTAATATATAGCAGTAGTTTTACTCATAGTGTAGAATAGATAACTTTCAGATTGACCTTGTCCAGTAACAGTGATCGTCACCAGATGTTGATGATGTTTTGTAACAAATAGTATCACAGTAACACTTATTCTGGTCACCAAATTTTCATTGTATCAGTGTATTATAAAATTTCGGATA